TTAGAAACAGATGCTAGTTCTCATGGTTTAGGTGCTATTTTATATCAAATTCAGGAAGGAAAACAAAGAGTAATTGCATATGCCAGCCGGAGTATTACAAAAAGTGAAAAGAATTATCCAGCACATAAACTTGAATTCCTAGCTTTGAAATGGGCAGTCACACACAAATTTCAAGATTATCTTTATGGCAACAAATTCACTGTTAAAACTGTTAAAACAGACAATAATCCACTTACATATGTTCTTTCTTCCGCAAAACTTGATGCTGATGCTACAGGTCATAGATGGTTGGCTGATCTTTCTGCATTTGATTTTTCTTTTAGAATATTTACCTGGATCTCGTAATGTTGCTGCATACGCTTTATCAAGACTTCCCGCTTCATGTGTAGATAATTCTGTTGTAGCTGCTATAACTAATTTCACCGACGTTGAGCATAGTAAAGTTGAAACTTTTTCTTTTAATCAGGATGCCATCCAACCCCCCGTTGCATGAGGAACCAACCCTATGTGCGGCATCGATAATGATTTCAGATTGAATATCCAGTTTATCTTTAAATAGTCTAGTTACGACAGACACACAGTTTTCACCCTCACGTTCTTCTATACCAAAAATTCTCAAATGAGATTTTCGACTATATTGTTCAAGATGATTTAGTTTTAATTGTAAGTTTTTTATTTCAGAATCGTTGACTTTTAACAAAGCCTCGGTGTTTTTTATTCTATCGTCAAAATAATCAAATTCCAGACTTACAGTTTCATTTGCAAGCTCAATATTTGCCACTCTGTCACCCAGTTCATCAAACCTCTCGCCTATAAGTTTATTTAGATTGGTTTCAATTTTCTCGACAGCCTCTTGCACTGCTTTGGAAACAATTTCATTAAGTTGTTGATGATTAACAAATATACTATCTGACGTACCTAAAATGATTATTTTCTCTGTACTTGAAGTATTTAATTTCGCCCTTGATTTCACTGGCGTGTCTTGGCTTGATGCAGAGGATCCACTTGTAGCAGGATCAATGGACGACGGACTATCCACCTTTCCAGGTTGTGGGTTGAGCCAAACGAGACAAAACAAGAACACAGCTATACAGTTTATTTACAATACACACAGGAACAAAACAGGAAATTATTTACAATAGAGCAAGTAGAAGAGCACTGAAATAAATGAAATGAAATGAAATGAAATGGGTTTTAACGTCCTACTGTTCTGCTCCTATACTGGGCTAATGAAGACGGGCACTGAAATAACAAAATGACTAAATTAGCAAATATATATAAAGGATATAGCTTAGATATAGCTTCTAATAACCAGTTATATAGTATAGAGATATATTGCCTATTACAGGTAATAAGAATGGAGCATTTAGAATTATTATACATAAATAACATATAACAAAATGGGAAACTAACTAAACACATACCCTGATAAGGGTGCTCTTATTATTCGAGGAAATAGAAAACTAATATTGTGGAAACCATATATCATATGAAAAGAGCGAAACACTAAAAGATAAAACAAACATCAAATTAGACATACAATTTTATAATATAAGTTTTTACTTATTTAGACTGAATTTACATGTATTATTTTATTTGTAAATTATATCAGAATAAAACAGTATTTAAATTAGAAAGGAATTGTCTTCTATTATATTGTCAAGTCAAGTTAAACAAATATAAACCTACCTGAGTTAGTGAATTCAGAAAATGATGCATCCAAGATGGAGATGTAAGAAAAAGTGACTAAAGGTCAAACAAGTTGTTAGGACAGTATCTAAGTAACGGATTACTACTCACTCCAAATAAGGTGGAAACTACAGGTGACATAGAAAAGCAAGACTACCAGCTATATGAAGTGTCTAGTTGAACAAGACTATTAAAGAACTATCCCCCCAGCACAAGAAGTGGCGTCCCGACACGAACAACCCTAAACAGCCTACGGTACACCATAATAAAAACAACAGTATACATATATAATACAAAAATAATGAACCAATCCACATAACCAAAATCATAATCCATAAACAAAACCAAGTCGTCATCAAGTAAAACTGTAAGCAACTGATAATGGAATTTATAATCAAACTAATAATGCAGAAATAAAAAAAAATCGTTATCAAAATACCAGTAGATACAATTAATATAAATCAAAGCCAAACAGTATTCTCTAAAACCCAAGCATCAGATTTCATCCAAGAAGGTGATTTACGTTGTCGTTTAGAAGCTATAACTGGTTGTGAAATATCACCAGAGGAAATATCAGGATCAGGTGGAGAAATTGAATCATCAGAATTATCAGTAACAGTAATATTAGGAACGCTCATATCAGGAATATCTGGAACAGGAATATCTGGAACAGTAATATCCGGAACAGAAATATCAGGTAACACGTTGGTAACACAAACAGAATAACCGGATGAAATATTAACATTTGAATTATTATCATTATCATTCGTGTAAGGTTGAGAAATGGGAAAATCAGGAATACTAACATCAGGTGAAGAACGAACACGTGGAAGTGGAACATTTAATCGTGGGGCAGGAATAGATCGACCCGAAGAACTTATCGGAAGTACAAGATATCTGTGTAGAGTACGCCTTAATGAAGTGTCAGCCTTCTGAACTACAAAAACTGGAATTTCAACATCTGGTTGTGAAATAACAATCATTCTCCCATTTATCTGCAAGTTTATTTTTACCTCTGATATGTACATTACGAACTAACACAACATCACCAACATGTAGATTAGCACCTCGAGTTTTCACATCATAATAAAGTTTCTGCTTCTGCTGCGCTTTCTGAATATTTTCTGTAGCAATACTGTTCACGGCTTTAAATTTATCTGAAAGTTAGTTAGCTGCTATAACTAATTTCACCGACGTTGAGCATAGTAAAGTTGAAACTTTTTCTTTTAATCAGGATGTAATTAATACTAAATTAATTGACAATTCTAAGATTTTAAAAGCTCAGCAAGACTGTTTGGGAATACGGAATATCATTCATTTTGTGAAAACTGGTTGTAAGCCGTCTGATCCATTTTTGTTTTATATTGATAAAGACTCACGAGTTATATTACGTCATTGGGAAAATTTAATTGTAAAAGATCATATTTTATATAGGAAATACTTACCTTCACCCTCATCTGATACTGTGTTTCAAATTGTTTTACCTGTTTCTCTTCGGCAACTTGTATTATCATTACTTCATGACAAGATGGGTCACATGGGTCGTGATCGCACATTGGACTTGGTCAAATCACGCTTCTTCTGGCCTTCAATGCATTCGCCGAAAGTGTCCTCAGCAGAATATTAGAGCTCCTTTAGTCAGTATTCAAACTTCGGAACCATTACAGCTTGTTTGTACAGATTTTTTGAGTTTAGAGCCTTCTAAGGGTGGTATTGGAAACATTTTAATTATTACTGACCACATCACAAAATTTTCTGTTGCTGTTCCAACTAAAAACCAGACTGCTAAAACCACCGCCAGGGCATTAATTCATAATTTCTTTCTACCATATGGAATTCCTGAAAAACTTCATTTTGATCAAGGTCGAAATTTTTAGTCCAATATTATCAAAGAAGTCTGCAGTATTTTAGGTATACACAAATCACGTACTACTCCATATCATCCAATGGGTAACGGTTTATGTGAACGCTTCAACAGAACACTTTTAAATATGCTAGGTTCTCTTACTGAAGAACAGGAAGGTAGATGGAAAGATCACGTTCCTTATTTAGTTTTTATTTATAATTCCACTAGACATGAATCAACTTCCTTTTCACCTTTGTATTTGATGTTTGGTAGAAATCCTAAGTTATCTGTTGATATAATTTTTGGAGATACGTAGTTCCTATACACAGTTTACTTCTGAACTTTCAGATAAATTTAAAGCCGTGAACAGTATTGCTACAGAAAATATTCAGAAAGCTCAGCAGAAGCAGAAACTTTATTATGATGTGAAAACTCGAGGTGCTAATCTACATGTTGGTGATGTTGTGTTAGTTCGTAATGTACATATCAGAGGTAAAAATAAACTTGCAGATAAATGGGAGAATGATTGTTATTTCACAACCAGATGTTGAAATTCCAGTTTTTGTAGTTCAGAAGGCTGACACTTCATTAAGGCGTACTCTACACAGATATCTTCTACTTCCGATAAGTTCTTCGGGTCGATCTATTCCTGCCCCACGATTAAATGTTCCACTTCCACGTGTTCGTTCTTCACCTGATGTTAGTATTCCTGATTTTCCCATTTCTCAACCTTACACGAATGATAATGATAATAATTCAAATGTTAATATTTCATCCGGTTATTCTGTTTGTGTTAGCAACGTGTTACCTGATATTTCTGTTCCGGATATTACTGTTCCAGATATTCCTGATATGAGCGTTCCTAATATTACTGTTACTGATAATTCTGATGATTCAATTTCTCCACCTGATCCTGATATTTCCTCTGGTGATATTTCACAACCAGTTATAGCTTCTAAACGACAACGTAAACCACCTTCTTGGATGAAATCTGATGCTTGGGTTTTAGAGAATACTGTTTGGCTTTGATTTATATTAGTTGTATCTACTGGTATTTTGATAACGATTTTTTTTAATTTCTGCATTATTAGTTAGATTATAAATTCCATTATCAGTTGCTTACAGTTTTACTTGATGACGACTTGGTTTTGTTTATGGATTATGATTTTGGTTATGTGGATTGGTTCATTATTTTTGTATTATATATGTATACTGTTGTTTTTATTATGGTGTACCGTAGGCTGTTTAGGGTTGTTCGTGTCGGGACGCCACTTCTTGTGCTGGGGGGATAGTGTAGTAGTGTATATTTGGTTGTCAGTTGTTATATATTTAGTATTAAGAAGTAGCCTCTTTCATCCTGTGTATGGTTTTAGTTTATTTAGTCAGTTAACTCAGTTCTTTAATAGTCTTGTTCAACTAGACACTTCATATAGCTGGTAATCTTGCTTTTCTATGTCACCTGTAGTTTCCACCTTATTTGGAGTGAGTAGTAATCCGTTACTTAGATACTGTCCTAACATCTTGTTTGACCTTTAGTCACTTTTTCTTACATCTCCATCTTGGATGCATCATTTTCTGAATTCACTAACTCAGGTAGGTTTATATTTGTTTAACTTGACTTGACAATATAATAAAAGACAATTCCTTTCTAATTTAAATACTGTTTTATTCTGATATAATTTACAAATAAAATAATACATGTAAATTCAGTCTAAATAAGTAAAACCTTATATTATAAAATTGTATGTCTAATTTGATGTTTGTTTTATCTTTTAGTGTTTCGCTCTTTTCATATGATATATGGTTTCCACAATATTAGTTTTCTATTTCCTCGAATAATAAGAGCACCCTTATCAGGGTATGTGTTTAGTTAGTTTCCCATTTTGTTATATGTTATTTATGTATAATAATTCTAAATGCTCCATTCTTATTACCTGTAATAGGCAATATATCTCTATACTATATAACTGGTTATTAGAAGCTATATCTAAGCTATATCCTTTATATATATTTGCTAATTTAGTCATTTTGTTATTTCAGTGCCCGTCTTCATTAGCCCAGTATAGGAGCAGAACAGTAGGACGTTAAAACCCATTTCATTTCATTTCATTTATTTCAGTGCTCTTCTACTTGCTCTATTGTAAATAATTTCCTGTTTTGTTCCTGTGTGTATTGTAAATAAACTGTATAGCTGTGTTCTTGTTTTGTCTCGTTTGGCTCAACCCACAACCTGGAAAGGTGGATAGTCCGTCGTCCATTGATCCCGCTACAAGTGGATCCTCTGCATCAAGCCAAGACACGCCAGTGAAATCAAGGGCGAAATTAAATACTTCAAGTACAGAGAAAATAATCATTTTAGGTACGTCAGATAGTATATTTGTTAATCATCAACAACTTAATGAAATTGTTTCCAAAGCAGTGCAAGAGGCTGTCGAGAAAATTGAAACCAATCTAAATAAACTTATAGGCGAGAGGTTTGATGAACTGGGTGACAGAGTGGCAAATATTGAGCTTGCAAATGAAACTGTAAGTCTGGAATTTGATCATTTTGACGATAGAATAAAAAACACCGAGGCTTTGTTAAAAGTCAACGATTCTGAAATAAAAAACTTACAATTAAAACTAAATCATCTTGAACAATATAGTCGAAAATCTCATTTGAGAATTTTTGGTATAGAAGAACATGAGGGTGAAAACTGTGTGTCTGTCGTAACTAGACTATTTAAAGATAAACTGGATATTCAATCTGAAATCATTATCGATGCCGCACATAGGGTTGGTTCCTCATACAACGGGGGGTTGGATGGCTGAATGGTTAGCGTGCGCGCGCTGTATCATAAAGTATGTCATTGAGTCGACTGGCGTGGTTTCGAATCCCCGGTTGTACGTGACAAGGAGTAGGGTCGCCTGTCCAACCTCGTGGGTTTTCTCCGGGTCCTCCGGTTTCCTCCCACTGCTAAAGACCCCTATGCGCAAGCGAATTATTGAAATAAAATAAAACCATATTATGTTAGTCCCGAAATGACCTAGTTTGTGTCGAGTGGACGTTAAACCCCATTTCTCTCTCTCTCTCTCTCCTCATACAACACTTCTTTCATGGGTGAGACCAGGCAGAAACCGAGAGAGGCATAATTGTTAGGCTGCTAAGAAGCACTGATAAAAGCAAAGTCATCATAGCACGGAAAAAATTTAAAAATTCTTTAATAGCATTGTAGATGATATGACTAAAACAAATATTCGTCTGCTAGAAGAGGCCAAACGACATCACAGTGTGAAAAGTGCATGGCTAACAAATGGAAAATTGTTTGTAGAAACAATTAACAATATAAAATGTAGAATTGAAGATGTATCTGACATAGATAAGAAAATTAAACCTTAAATTATGTTTTAAAAATATTGTGATAATAACTTTAGTTTCCTGATTCAGTTGTAATAAGCTTTTGAAGGGGTAGTCCCAAATAATTATTGAGGGCCTAAAAATAACACCATATCTGGGTATATGCAATTTTAACGCCCATATTGTATTAACTTTCAAATGATCTTGAATGGGTTAATGGCCTTTTTATTCAGTTGAATATTTTAGCAAATGACGTGAAACATCTTGGATAAGTATACAGTAACATATAGTCTGGTGTTAACTTACACAATTATTCTTACAGAGACAGTTTCAAGTGCAGGTTTCAGTTGAGTGTATGGGGCTACGGTTGGGTTTTTTTTTCAATTGTTATTTGGGATATTCCCTTTTAAGCGGCAGATTATTTATAACAATTAATGGTTTATGTTCACTATTTCCAGCAATTGTGCATCGTACTACACCTGCTTCACTAAACACAGTTCATACTGCTGTATGGTAATAACTACACTGTGAACTAAGTTTAACAATAGGCCTATAAACGAACGTTACAAATCATAGGTTTGTATCGGTCAATGGTGATTTTTAAATATTAAAAATGGCATACACGAATTGGAGCTTAAATATAATAATGATAAAACTTTTTGACTATAATAAGATATATAACTAAACAATGTAGTACTGGTGTCTTGATCTCAGTCCCAGTATTTTTTGGGATCAGCGTTATTTGATAATTGTGGTCTGTAGTCGTGCCACATGAAATGTGTGGTAACCTGACATCTCGGAAACCGCTAACCGGAAGTGGCCGAAACTTTGGCTACTCTGAGAAATTATTAAAGTGATTATAATTTGCAAGTTTCATTGAAATCGGTTGGTAATTGCGTTCTGCAGCCGTGCCACATGAAATGTGTGGTAACCTGACATCTCCGAAACCGCTAACCGGAAGTGGTCGAAATTTCATTGAAATCGGTTTGTAATTGCGGTACGGAGACTTGCCACATGTGGTAAATAGTCTCCGGATTGTCTTACCACATGTGGCAAATAGCCCCAGCCTTCTTTTTTTGTCTGTATATATGTTTTATTTGTTTACTATTTATTTACATCATGTTCTCCTGTCTCTATATCCACCAAAACTAACCACTAAATATTTAAGATCTAACTGTTTGATGATTTCTCACTCCCCTCGTGCAATACTGGGGCAAGTGCAACACTCATTATATTTTCATCGCTATTGTAATAGTTGACATTTACAACACAATAAAGAACGAGGCATCTGAGAAATTGCAATGTCGAATAATTATGGAAGCCTATTGCGGCCATTTCAGAATCTCGTCTTCTCGCCGAGAGAAGTCGAGGGCGAGAAGACGAGAAGTCGAGGGCGAGAACACGAGAAGACGAGAACACGAGGAAATAGGGCGAGAATACGAGGATCTCGCCCTGAGAACACGAGATTACTTTCACCTCGACTTCTCGCTCCCTCGTCCCTCTTGTTCTCGCTCCCTCTTGTTCTCGCCTTTGAAAAACCTCGTGTTCTCGCACTCTCGCCCTCGACTTCTCGTCTTCGACTTCTCGTCTTCTTGTCTTCTCGCCCTCTTGTCTTCTCACCCTCGACTTCTCGCCCTCGACTTCTTTTTTTGTCTGTATATATGTTTTATTTGTTTACTATTTATTTACATCATGTTCTCCTGTCTCTATATCCACCAAAACTAACCACTAAATATTTAAGATCTAACTGTTTGATGATTTCTCACTCCCCTCGTGCAATACTGGGGCAAGTGCAACACTCATTATATTTTCATCGCTATTGTAATAGTTGACATTTACAACACAATAAAGAACGAGGCATCTGAGAAATTGCAATGTCGAATAATTATGGAAGCCTATTGCGGCCATTTCAGAATCTCGTCTTCTCGCCGAGAGAAGTCGAGGGCGAGAAGACGAGAAGTCGAGGGCGAGAACACGAGAAGACGAGAACACGAGGAAATAGGGCGAGAATACGAGGATCTCGCCCTGAGAACACGAGATTACTTTCACCTCGACTTCTCGCTCCCTCGTCCCTCTTGTTCTCGCTCCCTCTTGTTCTCGCCTTTGAAAAACCTCGTGTTCTCGCACTCTCGCCCTCGACTTCTCGTCTTCGACTTCTCGTCTTCTTGTCTTCTCGCCCTCTTGTCTTCTCACCCTCGACTTCTCGCCCTCGACTTCTCGTCTTCTCGTCTTCTCGCCTTTGAAAAACCTCGTGTTCTCGCTCCCCCGCTCCCTCGCCTTTGACTTAATCTCGTCTTCTCGTGTTCTCGCTCCCTCGCTTCGTCACAATCTCGACTTCTCGTCTTCTCGTGTTCTCGCCTCGGAAGTGCAGTTTATACGCATGTCCACTGACTACCGTATCGGAATTTCTATTTGGACATGAATTATAATATACGGAAATGTATGAAGTTCTTGAAAATTTAATAGTCCTAAACAATTTTAATCTTTTCTTGCACAGATAGTATTGTATTCTGGAATCGATTTTAAAAGTCTTCCGTCGAATCTTTCTTTGCCCTCTAACTTCATCAACCTTCATCGGGTTTTTTGATGCGTGGTCTTGTCAGTGTTGTAGGATGTAAAGTCTGACAAGGGACAACGCATAGTCGTTCGAATGGGATTTAAAAAAACGGGGTCCCGTACCTGTAATCAAAATGAAGTTGGTTCTACGGTGGCCCAGTGAGTAGGACGTTTGCTCTCTAACTTCATCAAAGTTCGTCGTGATTTTTCTGGCGATGTCCACCCTAGGACGGAGGGCCTGAGAAGGGACAACGTATAGCGTTCGGGAATACAAATAACCGAGATCCCGTGTCCGGAATCTAAATGAAGTGTGAGCTACAATGGCTCAGTGAGTAGGACGTTTGCTACTTTATCAAAGTTCTCATTTTTCGGTCGTGGCTCCGGCTTGTCAGTAGTATAGTCGTTCGAATGGTATAAATAAAAAACGAGATTCCTTGTCCGAAATCGAATAAAGTGAGGGCTACGGTGGCTCAGTGAGTAGCACGTTTGCTCTCTAACTTCATCAAAGTTCATCGTGATTTTTCTGGCTATGTCCACCCTTGTCAGTGGTGTAGGACGAAGCGTCTGGCAAGAGACAACATATCGTTCGGATGGAATAAAAATAACCGAGCTCCCATGTCTGGAATCTAAATGAAGTAGGAGCTACGGTGGGTCAGTGAGTGGGACGTTTGCACTCTTACTTCACTTCAGTGGAGTAGGAGGAAAGCCCTGGCAAGGGACCACGTACATTCTGTAATTTTTACAATTGTATTGTTTCTGTAAAACGCCTACAGCGCAGTTCTGTTATCCTGATAACAGACACAAGTCTGTAAATATTTGAGAAGTCGAAATTTCTTCCGTAAATATGATATACGGGCAGTGCCGGACTGGGCCCACCTGTCCACCTGTCCGTGACAGGTCGGCCTAAGCTCAATAAAAAAGTGGGCCTAAGCCTATAAAGAAAAAAGAGAAAAGGAGAGGCGGGGAGAAAAGAAAAAAGGAAGTAGAGGACAGGACACAGGACAGGAGAAAGAAAAGATAGGAAAGAAATGACTGACAAACAACACAAAAAAAGAAGTGTACTAGAATTCTCAAATTCATCTAATGATAGTGTTCTTAGGTCATTCTGTTATCTCATTGTTATCTGCTTTGGTCTGAAATGCTTGGAAAATGGGTTTGCGGTTGTCAATTTTCAAAATTTTCCTGGGGGGGAGAACCCCCTGAGACCCCCTTCGGCGCGTACTTGTGTGGGCCTTAGTCAATGACCTGACAGGTGGACCTTCGGCCCACCAGTCCGGCACTGCATACGGGTGCTTAAATTAGAGTGACGTCATCGGTCTTCCTGGGCGCCATTACTGCCAATACCGTTAGTTATAGAGGCAAAGAGGAATCCCTCTGCATCGAGCACAATAGTTGAACCATAGATGATATAGTTCTATGGTTGAACACTACAGTCAATACCCAACATTGCAGTTTTAGGTAAGTAATGTTTATATAGTAGGCACACATCTTTGTTTGATACAGATTGTACGAGGTAACTGATGTTTGACAAATGGACACACTGCTAGTGCTACTACTAGGCCTAATATTTTTTAGCATTGTTTTTGGATGCTTCAGTTCTAGTTGAGGCTACTCGGGTGACATAACCCATTCAAACTCATTGATAGAAATAAATATATGAACTATATGAAGGGCTAACATTTATGGGCTTCATGTCTATCTTTATCTTAGTATCTATAGACTACCACTGAAAACCATCATTGTTAATAAGCATTAAGAATTTATATTGAGGGAATTGTCAATGTCTGGATAATAAGATCTTTAATTTTTTATTTTACTAATTTTTTTAGGCACATCTTATTGCATCTTTGAGTGTCATTCCTGTCATCTATTGAGTAGCCTACCCAGCCTTTCTCTGGGTTACTGAAATTTTTTCAAAGGTAAAAGTAAAAGAAAAATTACAAGATTGAAGATAATAATTTTGGGAATTGAGCGCATCAACGACATTGTCAGTGAAAACCAACACTTCCTGCCCTCTGCGTGTACCTTGAAATTTGAGGGGGTGGTTGGATGAATGGTCTAACCATGGAGCTTATTATATAAAGTTCATGGTCTAACATGGGCCTTAGTTAGGTCAGAATATATGTCTTTGAGTCGTGGCGTGGAAAGGAGTAAAATTGCCGGACTAACCGTGTTCGTTTTTTCTGGGTCTTTCGTTTTCTTCCCACTGTTTATAAATACCTACGGTTTAAAGTGAATTATTGAAATAAAATTCTACATGTTATATATTATTAGTCAAAAAATGACCCCATTTCTCTCCCTTGGGGTGGGCCCTATTAGCAACAGGTGAATCTCATTTTAATCTGGTTTTACCTGTCATAGGTGCAGAGTCGCCACTGGTTTGTCCAAAATTCTGATCAGAAACCCAAGATGCGGTAACGAGAGAAGATTAGAAAGCGTGGGTTTTAACCCACGATAAAACGATGGGTGTTGCTTTAGCGAATACCAATATGATCAGAGAAGTTCAACCTAACTTAAAAGTAAAGGAGCTAAATCTGT